GTGCGTGCGTGCGTGCGTGCGTGCGTGTATATGTATATACAGTGTATGTATACTAAATAATATACTGATTTGAAAGCAAATTTTTGGCTTTTGAGAAGATTAATTGTTTTCACAAATCAAATAGAAGTGTAATGAATCACAGAATTATATCCAATTTCAAATTAAATAAAGTATAGCTTTACTATGTATCTATGTACTATATCTGTAAGAACGTGATTGCCGAAAATATTTTTATCTTTAATCATTTTGAACTCTGAAAATATAAATCCAAATTATTCGAGAAATTGAATAAACAATTATGTAGGTTGAATGTGTCACTATTGGATATGTTGTGAATAATTTGAAATATTTTGCTCCAGGACCTTTGGAAGAGCTTCACTTGACTATTCATACCGACATGCCGACAATAGTACGAGCGATGGCTCGATCTGACTCTGGCTTAGAGATACGCGATCGAATGTGGCTAAAAATTACTATTCCAAATGCATTTATTGGCGCGGATGTCGTGGATTGGTTAAACACACACGTCGAGGGATTTCTTGATCGACGCGATGCCAGGAAATATGCGTCACTCATGTTGAAAGCTGGTTACATTCGACATACAGTGAACAAAATAACATTTTCCGAACAATGTTATTACATATTTGGTGATCTATGTTCAGCCATGAGTAATATGAAACTAGATAATGACACAGTTAGTCCATTGCCGCCACCAAGCGCTTGGGATATGCCTTATTCGGGAACATATGCACCACATTCAGCGACAGGTTACAGCCCTATGCCATTTAATTTTACAAATGAGCCCACCGTGTACGGTTACCATCGAGAAGAAAGCGTGCACAGTGGTTCCGGTAAACTTGATCATTCCTTATAAATGAAGTGATACTTGACCTATACTTATATCTCATATTCGTGTATATTGACATTGACAGGTGGTAGCAGTGCGGGTAGCGAACGCATTTGCAAAGAACCTATTCACGATCTAAAATCATGTTCTTCGGCGTCCGAATCAGAGCTGCACAATCCATCGGTGCCATCGATGCCAAATAAAAATTCCGGCAACGGTAATGGATCGAACGGAAAGAGATCGAACGGAAGTCGCAGTCGTTCCAGTGGTTCCGAACAATCTGTTCAAACAGGGACAGGATCAGGGAATCAGCAGAATCAGCAAGACTTATCTGGTAGTAGACAGTCATTTCGCATTGCGATGGGAAATCCTTGTGAATTCTTTGTCGATGTTATGTAGATGTTGTAAATAGAGAAAGAAAGCTCTATATATATATATATATATATATATATATATATATATAGTGCAGAGTATAAAGCTAAACACGTGAATGAATACTTTGAATAATTTTATTTGAGCACGTTAAACCGTTATTTTATGCTTGCAAAGTAAAAATTAATCCTGATAAATGTATACTTTATACTGAAATTTTTTTTCTGTTTTTTGGATTGTCTCGGATTTTTTAATATCTCTCTATTTTCATATTCTGAGATAATCAGTAATAATTACCATGAATCTGTCGTGCACTCCGACATTCATGCATGGTTGCTATTGCTTTTCTAATGTTCAAAGTATTTATTCACTAATTCTGTCTACACATATTTGAATAAAGTCTAAATATTTTTCAATTCTTTTGTATGTACAGATATATATATATATATATACATATACATATACATATACATACATACATACATACATACATGTATACAAGGTGATCCAGATCGTATTCCTCATGAAAAACTGAGTTGAAAATGTTGATCGCAAAATGTTGAGATGTCAAGGGTTTGTGAATGGTGAGCTGTTGAAACTGTCCAACCACAGTGCATTAAGAACGCGCCGTCAGGTGCGGCGCAATCTTTTTAAAATGATGTTGAATTTGCGATTGACTTCACATTAATTAAATTGGACTCAATTTAAGAAATAAAAGCAATAAATGTTAATAAAGATTTCACCAAACCTTTGCAGTTATCGGCACCGTGCCGTTTAGTGATATCTGTCGCGCGCCAGTCGACCGCTTGACTGCGCCTGACGGCGCGCTCCTAATGCGCTGTGATTGAACAATTTCAATAGCTCACCATTCACAACCATTGACATCAACATTTTGCTATTAACACTTTCGACTCAGTTTTTCCTGAAGAATACGTAGATGCCGGCTTCTCCGGGTGACCGGGACACCCTGTATATATATATGTGAATATATATATATATATATATATTCACATATTATGTATAAAAAGTGTGTGTGTGTGTGTATCATTTGCATTTTGCATAACAGCATTTTACAAAAATCTATTTTGTAAAGTTATGCTGAGATATGTTTTGCATGTAACAGCAGTATACATATTAATACGGTTTGAAAGAGTTTTATTTGTACAACGTAAAAGTTGATTCGAGTCATGTAAACGAACAGGACAAAAACTTTGTTACAATCAAAATGATGACAAAATTTACTAAGTATCTATTACACGTTCGTTCTCTTGCGTCGACGCCTTGTATATAAAATTAATATTTTTAGCTTTTTCTCCACTTCGGCGCGTTAATGGTGAAATACTTTTAATGATACTTATAATTTACAGTTTTATACATTATATATGCAGTATAAACTATTAAGAGAAATCTTTGATATATGATATTATGATGTTGATTATATACATTAATAAGAGTGAACTTATGAACCCGAGAGGAATCGGAATGAACGTGTCAAACCATCTCAAAAAATGTTTACCATAGTCTTTCTGCATGATGTATGTGTCCTGTATTTTTGAAACTTTTGTCAGTAATACACATTTTCTGTATTTTTTATAGTGTTGCAAAAACATAACGTAATAAGTGTCTTTTCTACCATAATATTTTGTTATCGTATACTTACACACAATTATGCACGCTTGATTGCAAGTGTAACTATATGATATATCGTTACTTAATCGCAGCACGAATGCACAAGGCATAAAGCACAAAAATGAACATGTAAATAACACGGTTTTTACCTCAATTGAACCTAAACTATTGGGATTTGTAAGAATCCTCTGCACATGCATGTAATTTATACTTGTCTGATGGAAAGATATATATCTATTAATATCATTTAATTGATTGCGTTTTAGGATTGTCTACGACAATGGGACAGCTATTTCTTTAAAATCGAGAGGATATTGTTTCTAAATGTCTAGTAATTCAGTCATTTCTATTATTTTGAAAATGTCTCAGCATTTCTATAGAGAGAAATGTTTGTTCGAAAAATTGCGTACAAAAATTATCGAGTCGTTAGAACTACTCATTTACACGCGTGACAGGCAGTTTTATATTGTGTAAAGCTAATACCTACTCTCGTATCGAAAAATAATCTTTATGTTATTTAACATTGTATTGGAATTCAGTGAAATGTACATATATGCAAATTACGCTCATACTAAATGTGCCATCTTATCAGTGTTACAACTGTAGAAAACTACGAGATTTATAATTTATATAGATGCTTGTGCAGGTTCTTCTTAGACTATGTTTATCGTCATTGTCTGTCATACGCATATATTTTATAATTAGTAATACACAATTTACGTATGTGTTTCATTTAAGTTTTTAAGTGTGTTTTTATATCGTATAATGTCGTCAAAATGCATTCTTTTTATATTTATGTCTTACTATTGCGTTATGTCAACTTTTTTTTTTTTACGTATTTTGTTACGAAAAGGAAATCTTTTTTCATACTCGACTCGATGCTACGTAATAAGAAGAGAGATACATTTAGTTACTATTTACATTATTACTGTCGTACGCAAGGATAGGAACTTTGGACCCATGGGATAACTTTGTTTAACTTTAAAGCTATTTTTTTTCTATCGATGATAATATCGTCGAGATGTCTTTCATTCTATCTGCGTTGCATACACTGTACGATTATACTCGTATGTTACAAAAGACAATAGTCTCTGTGCGTTCAATATTCCACTGACGACTACGACGAGTAATTTGTAACAACCAAATATAGCTTCACGTATATTTATTAATAATTCGCATATATTCAAGTCTATTCAAAGTCTAAGAAATATTTGTTATGATGTAAAAATAAATGATTATTTCAAAGAAAACATTGTTTTTTATCCTTCGTTACAGTAAGTTTTATGTATTTTATCATTTTGTTATTTATCGTGAAGCTATATTTGCTATATATACGTCATGCAATTTTTCTAATTGATATACAGTATATCCCATATTTTTATTTGCATTTTTATAAACAATTATTAGATCGATTAAAAAGTAATTTTATAAACAGAATACCTATAATACAGTTCGATTGAAAAATTGATCGCTAAATCCATAATTTTTTACGAACAATGCATTTTTGGCCATATTATCGTAAACATTTTGCGAAAAATTGCATACGAGATGTTATTCGACTTTAACAGAGTTACACTAACAAATTATTATGTACGTAAACAAATACAGTGACTTGTATTTGTGACATATTATATAATGTATGTGTACATGTGTTATATACATATTATATAATATCAATCTCACGTCTATTCTCATGTTGCAGACAGGTAGTGCAATACATTTTATAATCGTGTTTTTTTTTTAGAAATCGTCTGTGCCAATAATATATTGCAACATATTAATTGCAACGTAGTCGTACAAACGAACAACAAAAAAGTTGCATATAGATTTCTAAAATTTTATCTCGTGTTAAAATCTTATGAAAAGTTTCTCACACTTTTTCTGTTTGTATCGCCCTCCTGTCCTGAAGAGTAGGAAATTTGTATTTTCAAATATTATATCGCTAGTATTGTACATACATTGCACCACACCTCAAATACATAACCGAGTCATTTTTGTGCCTTGTGCTGCGCTGGTGAATGACAGGGCGGCGTATGCACGAGGAGAGTCATACACAAACTAGTGATTTGGACAACAATAGCAGAGACGATATCTGTGAGTCTGTTTTTATTTTATCACGATACACGTACTGCATAGTTTTCATATTCACTATACTTTTCTCGAGTACTAAACTATGTATATTATACTTTTTGCGCTAAACTTATATCAGTGAAATTGATCATTATACTTAGTTAAAGCAATTTTACAATATCTTTCATACGCTTATATGTATTTAATTAGAAATATTGATTTGATAAGCTGGTTAAGAATGACTTAAGGATAACTCTTTCATTGTATATTTGATTAAATATTTATTAATATTTTAATTAACGTAAATTTGGAATGCCCTTCGCATTTACTATAATATTTACTAAATCTAGCTTGCATCTGCATAACACATATATACGCAAATATATATACAAGGTATATCTTAGATAACGCTCACTAATTATAGCGTTATTTCTTGTGTAAAAAGTTGAAAAAAGTCCTGAATCTATTTTTTTTTTTTTTTTTTTTTTTTT